AATACAGCAGATAAAGCTGGTTACAGCAATACTGAAAACTTTCACAGAAGCTTGCTCTTGATGTTGCTATTCTAGAAAGATACAGATAGAGATGTACTTCTCAGGAAGATAAATCCAAATAAGGAGAGTGGAAATAAAGATGCAGTAACACCCAATCTCTCAGTATTTCCTTAAAAAACCCAAATAACCAAAAGCTCGTTAGTTAAAAAATTTTGTATTTCTTCAGGTTTAGCATAACTTAGAGCAGTTTGAGAGGTACTTTCCAAGGTGAGTAGGAAAGTTGTGACAGGGCTGCTCTCATGGAGGTGCAACAGAGGGAGGCCTATGCAAAGTGCAGACCACCCTCACTTCAGCAGGTTTTCTACCAAGACAGAAGTCTCCAGCATGGGGCTGCAATTTGCTGGAGTTTGAGCTAAGGGCCATGTCAGTTTGTTTTGGACCTGGGGACTGATAACGGGAACTGCCAGAGCTCTGAAATAAGCAAGCAGTGCTGCCTGATTCACAGCACGTCCTTGGAAGTCTACCTACACAACTTGTGAAGGATAAGTCTTTCTTGCAAACTGTCAAAAAAGGCCAAGGACAGTCTGGGCATTCTCTTAAGTAATTCTGTGCTTCTTGATGCAAAAGAAACCCTTACCGATTAAAAAAAAAAAAAAAAAAATTAAAAAAAAATGACAGTGTCCTAACTGGATCCAAGTGTGTGAAATTTAATTTCCCTGAGGGCTGAGAGTGAAGATTGGGTAAGAAAACTGGGACACGAATGGATTGGTTCATATGAAAACCTGAAATAGCCCTGGGCAGAAATTTGGAAGGATTGTGAAATACTGTATAAGAAGAATCCATCTTCATATGCAGGGAGTAACTCAAGATGGGAGATGTAGCAACACAAACAGATACTCCAAAAGGTTCTACAAAGTTATATATAAGGTTTAAAGTGAATTTTTCCCATTCTGTGGTGGGAATACAGGATGTGGCAATCCAATGCCATGGTGTTATGCAAATATTTAACCAGATGACTTGGACAGAACTAATTAAAAGTTCAGATGCTTTGAACATACGAGATAGACAACACTGCTGATATTGCTGATATCAGACAGTTGATGCTTGTATGATCAAAGTTAAACATCTTCCCATTTAGCTTCTATATTCAGTTGAGGTTGCCTTAGCCTGGTACACAATAACTTTTGGTAGATGCCACGCAGACAGCATTAAGGCTGAGAGATGTAGGAATGCTGACTCCAAGCAAAGGGTTTGATCCTACTGCAAGATGATAAGGCACTGGAAGGAGAGCAGGTTGCTTGGGTTAAAGTATCAGAGCTAACCAGCCAGTGCTCCCTCTCCTCACAATCATAAATCCTAACACCTCAACCTGTTCTCCTCAGACTTTCTGGTGACCACGGGGAACAATGGCACTCCATGCATGTGCCTAAGCTCTCAGGGGAGAGGATCTTTAGCAGACCCTCATCTTGGATCCACCTTTCCTGGAATATTTTTTTTTCCTGGGCAGTGGAAAGAAAACAATTAAAAAAAAATCTTTATTTGCAAAAACCAAGCAATTTAAAAAAATGTTGCACACCCAAGTCTTTAACAGATGGCTCTCTGCTGCCAGAGACCAACCTGAAGATCTGGTAACTTCAAGTAAACCAAAGGCTGTACAATCTGTGCAGGAGTGAATGCACCAAGGTCTACAGTCTTGGTGGAGAGAGCTACATAGAAGGACACCTGCTCCTTCCTCAGATTTCAAAAGAAAATTGCTATTTATTTCAGCAGAGAGACCTTACATTAGGTCTTCTGGATGGATAGGCTGATTCAAACTGCCTCTTCCTGAATTTGCCTAAATCTGGCAAATTGTGTTATTGAGCTTCATGAGACCATGTTTGAGGCGTGCTCTCACTGGTTTCTTGGAAGAACCTGAAGCCTGTTGATGAACTAAAGTATTCATAGGAGATTTTCCTTGTAGAAACAATAGGCTCCCTCTAGTCTGGCTCATAACTGGGCTCTTGGAAATTATATGTGACTAGATTTTAAAGTTAATTTTGAGGGCTTTTTAAAGCATTATTTTAGCTTCAGAATTTATAATTCTAGGATTACTCAATTCAAACCATCTATTAGATAAGCTACTTGTCTGTCGGATTGCTTCACTGAGTCAGCTTTTGCCCAAAACACAGATTGATTCTGATTCTTTGGCTTCTTCAAGCACAAGAGCATTTGAGAAAAACCCACAATGGTCTTTCCAAAGCAAAGGGCAGGGATCCAGCAACAGTAGCAAGACACTTTTACAGTCACACCGAAGTTTCTTTGGAGGAATGAATAGATATCTGTCAGTAGGCATTTTACATGTCAAGGCACAAACCAGGTTGGGGAATCTACCTTCAAGCTACAAGTCTTTACCTGATATAATTTAAGGAACTCTTCTTTAAAGTACTCTTTCCAATTCGTACTCTACTGTCCAAGCAGAAGTAAACAGCGAGGTACAAGATGAGATGCTCTTGACCCCAAAAGGGGAAGGAAAACTACACTTGCTCCAAAGCAGAGGCTGCTCTATCAGAATAGGTCTCCCTCACACCAGCAAGTCAGATTGACTCCAGAGCTGCTGGTTTGAATATCACCCTTTCAATCTCACAAAGAAAGATGACTCTGGTACCTGGCCCATAGATGAAAGGTTCATTTTAGGCTTCTGGCCCTTAGACTACATGTAATATGAGTCAGAAACCTAATGACTTTCGTGTCTCAACCTGTTACATGCTGGAGCCTGCAACCGATGCCTTGACTCATCCCTGGAGCACTGCTCTTTCAGGCAAGATAATCAAGACCTTATTTTTCATAGACAATACTTCATATAACAGTAAGTCTCAGGAGGTTTCAACTGGCCCAAAAATATCTATGAGACCTTCCTTAGTTTTGATATCATTCACACATGTGATATTGGCAGAAAACAACATGTAAGCAATGTTGACAAAAACCTTGTGCTAAAGTTGAGTAACAAAGTTAGAGTCTATCTAGATATAAACTGACCAGGTCAGGCTCCAAGAAATAATTTGTATTAATGTCCAAATATTACTGGATAACTTTTACCTAGCACTCACTCTATATAAATATGTATAGATATATATATACACATATATACATCCCAACCCTCCACTGGAAAAAAGCCTGATGGCAAAATCTCAGACAAAACCCAAACAACTATATCATGATTACTGGCATACTGCTTCATGCCATTGTCTTGACATTCAAACGAGTTTAATAATTGCTCTTTTGAAGCTCCTAATGTTAAAAAAACCTCTCAAGCTCTGGAAGTGGCTGGGAATTCCAGGTTCTAACTGCTATGCTGGAAATATTCACTCATCAAGAGGTTCAAAAGACACTGTCAGAACTGAAACACAAACACATGTCAGAACGACTTGAAACAGAATGACTATAACTCAGAGTTTGGGTTTTCCTTAAATTGTTTGAAGAGCTTTTAAAATGTTTAATTTATTCAACTGGCTTTGATACTACAAGCATAGCTTTCACTTTCAAGTGCTACAATGGCTCAATTGAGCACAGAATACATTAAGCTTAAATTCACTACCACCATACACATTTTTGAATGACATTTTCATGTTTCTTCACTTGAAGTAATATACTCTCTCTGCGAATTTGACATGAAAACAGAACCAGCAGCCTCTCACTCTGCATACACAAGTGTCAGACACCATCACTACTCCAACTACCAAAAAACCCACTAAGTAATCACAACTACTAGTAGCTGAACACAAGCAGCTTCTGAAAAGAACCCCAAAAGAACAGATTTGGTTTTTGAAGAACAGTTCAAAATTTTCCCAGACGTGACTTCAATCTCTGCTGGCAGACCAGGCTTTGGCATGGCTTCTTTTGCTCCCCTCTGCCAGGCCTTCCCTGAGGAGGCTGTCATAAGGAAGGCCATGTGCCTCGCTGTGTGTCCAGCTCTCTTCCTGCAGCCCTATCAGGAGCACTGCTTCAGTCCACCCTACACTGTGAGCTGGTGATGCAGAGTGCAGCATCAAGTGGAACCCAGGCTTTGAACGAAGTCACATGCCATGAAGTGTGCTTTGTGCCCTTTGAAAAGCCAAGCCAGAGCCGTGGGATCAAGAAATTGAAAATCTCTCTCTCAGACTGGAGAGAACACAATGGGAACACTGCCTTCCCTCTGGAGCAGGATTGGGCATTGAAAGGCAAGGTACAGATTTATACAGTGGACACAATGAATTCCTGCTGTCTCATAACCAACCCTTAGAGTTACAGTACCACTCCACTGCTTGTCTGCCAGCACCACCAGGTAATGCCCACACACACTGCTAAATGCACATTTGGTTTCTTAGAGATGTACTCTTGTTTTATCTACTCTACAGGCACCGTTTGCTCACACATGCAGCAGTTTTCTGGCTGCTTAACACCAGTGAGCTACCAGAGTCACAAATACTTCGTTCAAAAGTTATGTGAGAGTTAAGAGCCTAATTATTTGAAAAGTTCTAAGATTCTATAAAAAGCATTCAGTTAATACTGTCCTATAGTTTGTTTCATTCAACCTTGCCTTTGCCACAAGTGACACAACCGAGATGGTGTGTTGACAGTACAAGAGAGTGGTTACTGTTCCAAAAGAAACAAAACAAATACCCCAACACCCCCACATTTGAGCTTAAATGCAGTATCACTACAGTTTTTGAATGTAACAAACCACAGCATGGGTGCCCTGATATAAACCCAGGATCCTAGGTAGTAGAAAGTAAGTCCTCTTTTCTATCAGCTTTGTTTTCGTACACACACATCAGGATTTGCAGAAGTGCCATTTGTCAGAAACACAGTGGAGCAGGGAAAGAAAAGTAAGTCTCTAACTGTCTACTAACAAAGAAACCTAATTTAATTTTGAAACAAAAGGAGCTAAATTCATCATTTCGAGACAGCCCCAGGACGTCCAAGCACGAAAAGGAAGAAAAGGAGTTTGCCAAAGACATGCAGAAGAAGCTTTTTAAAGTTACCTGGAATCGGGGTATTTTGTAAGCGTGGCCAAGCTGCTGGTATACATGTGCCCACCCACATCAATGTGAACTGGTGCGTTGGATTTTGTGAGCTGTGCTGGAGTGGGGATGCCTTGATTGTTCAATGGAGATGCAGGGGATCTAGTGATCAGAGGTCTTGACATATTGGGCCGACTGTCCTGTGAAAAGATAGACCTGGGTTAATGATCTCCTTGAAAACCTCACAGAAACCCCCAGTCTTGAATCAGTAGGACTGTCTCAATGTCTCAGATTATGACTTTTATCTTAGTAAAGCACAGACAAATATTCGGCAGCTTTTAAACTGAATCCAGCTCCAAGACTTTGAAATGGCTACATTTTAAACAAGTGGGGCAAAACGCACTAATAAAATCCACAAAGAAGAAATCACGTTCAATAAAACAAGTTTTTCCTGAACGCTACTCGCGACAGTAACTCCATACCAACAAAAAGGGTCATTCTCATTTTTAAGAGTTGATGAAAGCACTGAGAGAAAGAGATACAGACAAAAAGGCTGAGAACAATATTTTCCTTAATTAAGACGACCCCAGGTAGACTTTCTGTTCCTTCCCAAGCCCTCCGTCACTGCCGCACCACCAGAACAGAAATACAAACCCTCAACTCCTCCATCCTGCACTCTCTTCTCTGGAACTCCCAATTCACATAGCACAGGAACAGAAGCAGAAACACCTGGACTAGTCAACTGCTCATGGACTGCAGACCACTGGACATCGACAGCCTTTGAGAAAGACATTTTCCATTTAAAAGTTATGCGTTTGGCGACAGCTGCCCCCGCGTGCGGCGCACAGGCTGCAGGTGCTGCGTGGCTTCCCGGGGCCGGCGAGCCGCGGGCGCGGAGCGGGAGCCGATGCTCTGCGGGTAAAACCAACTTTTGGCCACGGAGGGAGCAGCGGCACCAGCACGGAGGGAGCAGCGGCTGCGGGCGCGGAGCGGGAGCCGATGCTCGGCGGTAAAACCAAGTTTTAGTCACGGAGGGAGCAGCGGCCGCCTGCGCGCTGCGGGTGGGGCAGGGCAGGGCAGGGCGGTGAGCTGGAGCCAGGAAGGCAGGCGGCAGGCAAAGTTGGGGATTAAAATAGAAATGCATCCGAGAGCGGTTTGGAGACAACCCCGCTTTCGACTGAAGGACAGCTCCACGCGGGGTGGAATCTTATAGGGATGCCCTGAGAACTAAAAGCCCTTGCAAATGACTGAGTTTTACATTTGAAAGGTAAGCAAAGCAGCGAGAAGTCAGATACACTTCATCACAAAACTCCCTTTGTTCTTTCGACACTGTCTTTCGGCTCCACAAAGTAATGGGTTCCTTGTAAACATCTCAGAACCGGGCAGCAAAACCTCAGCAAAGCGGAGGGCGGCGGAGAGAGAGTTACGGGGCATTCGGACCAGCAAAGTCCTCCTCCACCGCCAAAAACATCATTTCTCCCTTTTTCATGGCTCTAAAAAGACTCAAACCATAAAGGCAACGTGAGCCAGGTAATCGTCTGGCTGAAATGATTTACAGGCCAACGTTGCACAATAAATCCGAGTAATATGTAACAAAAGGCATCTATAAACCACAAGGTACTTAACTAATTTTCTTTCATACACAAAAGCAAGCTTTGGTCTAATACCGATAAAAAACTAAGGGAATGAAGAAAAATATCTAGTTTAGATGCTGGGTGGGGGGGGGGGAGGGTTGGGTTTCTTCTCTTTCTTTATAAGCAGAAGTTAATATAAATCTGCAGAAATACCAGGCTTAATCACTACAATTGCTGGAGGAGGTGCCTGCAGCGCAAAGAAGACAAGTCCAGACAAAATAAGGTACACACGCTATGCAAAACTAATGTCTGCTACAAATGCTATGTGGTACAACCACCACCCAAGATGCTACTGATCTGCAGAGCGGTATTTAGTAAAATAATGAAGAAAAAATTAAAAACAACTACAAAGGTGAAAATAAGAAGTCAAGGACTGACACAAAGTGGGGGTGGGGGGAGCATGTGCTGGACGATTAGCAAGAGGAAAGCAGCAAGTCTGAGAAACCCATTTCAGTACTTAAAAGCAGACAAACAGTTTGGCAAAAATAATGATAAAATTATCAATGAAAGTTGAGACCAAAAAATTCTGTAACTTGTATGAGACCAGCATATCCCTTCACAGGGTCCTCTGTGGCAGAAAAAAACCCATTGCTCTCTTGCAATTTAGCACAGTGCAGCACCACCTAGTCTGTCATAGTTTTTCAATTGGACACATTCTTCTGTATACCCTGCCTGGGGCTGCTCGAGAGAAAATGAACAGATTTGCAGGGTTAATATTGTAGTTAGGCTGGAACCTCATTCAGTGTAGCTGTGATAGCACTGGCTACACAAAACAGCAGAAGAATGTGCAGTATAAACACCACTGCCAGGATGGGAGATAGGTTGGAGGACTGTGGGCATTTTAAAAACATAAGAAAAGGGAACCAGTTTCCAAACCCAAGTCATAACCAAGCTGCCGTTTACACAGTTTACCTACTAAAACTCTCAAGAAATAAAAATGCTTTATAGTAAAACCTTTTGCTCTTTTATTTCACCCTCCTCCTTTTCAACATTTTCTCTTCAAGTTACCTGTGTTTATTGTGCCTCATGAAACAAAGTCCTTCTTAATGGCTGATATTAAGCACAATAATGCTAACCTTGCTCCAGTCCTAGCCCACAAAGCACATGTCCCTGCATAAAAACAGTTTTGTACTATTTTGGAGACACTTTGAAATTAGGCAATTGTATTTCTACTGCAGTTTCCTCAGAGAAACTAAAGCAGAAATGGGATTCAGAGAAGCAGGTACTTTAAAAAAATCTTTTTTTTTATGTGGCACAACTCAATAGCACCATCAGAGCACAAAATATCACCATCCAATGGGCACAGCATTTAATAGATCAGAGGTATATAATTGCATTTTTTAAATAACTGTATTGTTCAGCCATAGAAAGGATAACACAGGGGCAAACAGTATCCGAAGAAATACATGGCTTGCATTGATTATTGCAAATGTGGAAGTGAACAGGCTTTGGTAAAAAGTAGTTAAAACAAGGCACTGCTGGTAAGCTAAGCTTCTACCACCTAATGTGATTACAGCTACAATTCCTTAGCAAGAATTACAGGTGGAGAGAAGAGAGTCAGAGAAACTAAACTCAACGGGCTCCAGCAAGCCATCTGACAACAAAAAGAATCAAAAAGCTCTTCAGAAGCCTTTCTTGGTGTCAGGCAACACATGAACCTTGTCATGTCAGGTGAGACATGAACCCAGGAACGGGTTCAGAGCTCAGCCACGGTTGTTCCCACACAGAAGATCACAGAGGTTGCTGTCTGCCTTGGGAACTGCACCAGCTCTGTTCATGAGTGATACACAAAGCATGGCCACCACCTGCACTGGCTGGATGGGCAGCGACCCTCCTGACCTGTCAACAGCCTGACCCTTCATAGCTTTCCTTCTCAATTTTTAAATTTTTTTTTATTTATCCTACAAAAAATTAGGTAAGAGCAGAAAATGCAGTTTTATAACAGTTCCATGAACCAAAATATTTCAAATATCCTGTAAAGCACTTATCATTGTTAATATCCAGATGATTCTCCCTCTGTCCAACAATTTTTCATAAAAATTAGTTCCCACTTTCACTCAGAATGAATGTATGACTGAAACTGTGTAATCAAAAGTGCCAAAATCTGTGTGCTATGCAGGCTAAAGGCATTTAGGTTGTCTAAAACTTTTCAGTTTTGGTTCAGCATACAAAAGCACTGCTCTTAGAGCAGTCTGGGGCACCTCCACTTCCTTGCTGATATTTGAAGGAGTCTTTCCACAAGAAGCAGCTCACAGGCACAGGTCTTTAGAGTATATTTGAAACTGCTTCACATTTTCTGCTCTAGGCAAGCCCTCCTCTAGGCCCAACAAAAGCAAAAGCAGCCCTGCTTTAACTACTCTGCCTAGGATTTACAAAAACACGTATAATTTATTAGCCTTCCTAACAAAGGGGGCCAAGGATCATGGAGAAGAGCTCACAAATCCTTTTTCCTCTCCTGACTTCTCTTCTATACCATCTTCTCCCCAACTCTACTCAAAAACATTGTTAAAGAATAAGCCTTTAAACCTGGGTTGAAAAAAAACACAGTAGCTGCAGGGCTGAGATGTGCACTCATGCAACTTGTCTACCACGACAATAACATAGGAACCATGTCAATATTCTGGTAGCAAGTGGAAGGAATAGGAGATATCTGAAGAACATGAGTCATTACAATGTGCCAAGTGTACAAAAATCAAAGAGATGGGAGGCTTACTCCACCCCTCAAAATATTAGCACTGGTGTCCTAAGTGGTATTCACACTCTGTGGTCTTGAGTAAAATAATCCTGGTTCCCTTCTTAAGACAGAAACCTTGACAAAAACCATGCCACTACAAGATAACCCAAGCTCAGGCACAGAAGGACCAATATTCAAGTACAAACCGTCTGCTTGACTCACTGGACTGTGAAGATCATTTCAGTTTGCAGGTCAAGACACTGCTGGCTGGAATTATTTTAGCCAATGTCTTCCCTGTAAGCCAGCCCAGCTCAAGCAGAAGTGTATATGCTTCTCAGTAGCATATACACTCCCTGTCAAAGCCCCAGCAATTATTACTGCTGAGAAACTCAAGTTTACACATTCTGAACTCCCTTGGATTTTTTGGAGGGAAGTGAGGGCAAGCTTGTCTAATCTGTTCTAGACATTAGAACGAATAATCATGCAGTAGTTTATTCTAAAGTACCAAATCAGTCTGTGTTCATTGTCCTTTTTTCACAACACAGAGACATGAGACAGATGCTTCTCCTCACAAAAGCTTGGTGCCCAGGAACAACTGGAAACAGCAGTTAACACATCCATATCAGCCACCTCCAGCAGAAGAGTCTGAACACATATTTCCCACTGTATGGGGAATGAATACAAACAGCTAACAAACTTCAGAAGCTGGCATCAAATCCCCTTTCCTCCAATACAGAGCAGAAATCACTCAAGTGTCAGGGATATCTGTATGCCTGCACTCTGAAACAAACAGCAGGCTGATGCTCTGGGGTGCTTGTGGGATGGGGTAAAGTACAGCTCAAGAACCCCATCCAAACCAGGAACATTAGGACTGCTCTTCAATTTGGCTCCT